CCAGCCCCGGCTACAGCCCCACCAGCCCCGGCTACAGCCCCACCAGCCCGAGCTACAGCCCCGCCCGGCCGCTCCCCGGGGACCCGCCGCCCGTGCAGCCTGGCCGCCCCAGCAGCGAAGCCGCAGCCCGCGCCGCTGGCGGCGACGGGCGCGCGCAGCCAGCTCCAGCCGCGGGAGATACGAACCCCCAGAGCCCAGGCGGCGCGGCGCGCCCGCCCCCTGGCGGCCCGGGTGCCCTCCCTCCCCCCGGCCAAGCACCATGGCCGCGCGCCCTCGGGCGTTATGGTGAGGAGTTGACAATCGAGGACCGGCGGGGCTACTCTGAGGCCGACAACGACTGGGAGCGCTTTGACCGCGAGGAGAATGACGACCCGCCAGAGCCTGATGAGGACGACGATCCTGACGACGGCTCGCAGCACCATGCCATGCCGATGCATGGAGGGAGCCCCCAGTGGCATGGCGTGGTGGTGTATGATGCTGGCGGCGCGCAACCCATGGACAGGGACAATGCCGATCAGCAGCAGGTGGGTGTTTGGGTTACGCATGCGCACGATCGCCTGTGTGTGGGTGTGCACGCACTCGCGCATGTGTGTGTGTGTGTGTGTGTGTGTGTGTGTGTGTGTGTGTGTGCTCGTGCACCCGGTTGCATGTACACTCCACACATGCGTGTGTGCAGCCTCATTTGCTAAATTGTTGCTGCCGGGAACCAGAGAAAAGGCTGCTTGCAAGTGGATGCTGCGTCTATGTTGCCAGCTCCGCAAGCTGCGAGCATGCAATCTGCACCAAATCTCAAAACCCATCGATAATACAGATTCGCGCTTGGGCTGGCGGGGTGCGTCGCAGCCCGTCACCGCCGCCGGCCGATCGGGCGGCCATGGCTGCCGGCGGGCGCGGCCAGCCGCTCATGGCGCTGGCAACGGCTGGTGGGGCTGGCGAAGGCGGTGGGCAGGCTGCAGAGGAGCGAGCCGTTGGCGGCGAGGTGGATATACCTGTTGAGGAGGATGGGGAGGGGCTGTCGGGCGCTGCCGTGCTAGCTATGGTTGCCAGCAGCCTGGCGGGCCACAAGCGGCCGAGGGAGATGGTGTCGGAGGCCACCCAGACGGCTGGGGACCCCACACAGGCGTGATGTCATTGTCTCACAGGGAGGAAGTGCTGGCTCCCACAAACCACACAATCACACGTACCCAGCACCGATCTGTACCTGCTCCAAGCAACCATGCACACCTGTCGCGCTGCTTCTAGGTCTCCTTTATGCAACAACGCCACCTGCAGCTGCAGGGTGCTGCCTGCACTCGACCTAGCCGAAGCACCTTTTTGTAAGAATCAAGCGCAAACCCATATGGGTGCAGCCTCTGAGCCTCCTCAAGATGTAACTGCTGTTGTTCCGTCCACGCGGCCCTGGCTGCATGTGTGACTGGATGCTGCAAGGCAGCTGGCAGTTTACAACATCCACCTTATTACCAACGAGCAGAGCAAAACACCTTCAAGCCCAGAGCCCTTCAGCAAGGCTGGGCGTTGTGCTCAGGCAACCAAGCTAGATAAGGTGTGCATGTGATTGGAGCCGTCCAGCAACACCCGCAGATTCACGAGGGGAATGAAGATATCGTGCCTGCCCTTGTCCGCCCACCCGATCAGGACAGTAAACGCCGGCGTCGGATAGTACAAGCAGCATGCAAGCGCGCTGACCACCGGTTTCTTGGGGTCTGCAATGACCAGGCGCCCGGTGCGCGTGTGTGAGCGATATCCTGTCGCTGGCAATTCCTCTCTTGCGCTGGGGAAGGGAACCCCGACAAACGCCCACGCGAGCAGGACATGCACCGGCGGGCTTTGTGTGAGGCACGCAACCGGCAAGATGAGCAGACAGACTATTGGTGGGAGCACGTCGGAATCCTCGAGACGGCAACCTCGGTGATGACCACAGCGCACTTGTGTGCATGAAAGGACTGCGGCGCCTGATCAGCTTGAAAGATCTGCCCAGTCGCATGTGTGTGCCATTCGCGCGGTGCCCAACTTTCAGCGTGTGCAAGCCCAGGCTCAATGTACACATGTGTACATTTCAGGGAGAACAGGGTATACCGAGGCCACGGGCAGCAGCAACACCTGCTGATCATGAGTGAGCCCGCAGCCGCCATCACGTTGCGCATGCTTGCAAGGATTGACCACACAGCTGACCCGTGCTTGAACCTGAAACAGCAAAGCAGCACAGGAAATCTCCTGGGCTGCGGAGGGCGAAAGAGCACCGTAAAATCGGTCGCAGCCTGTGGAACTCCCCCTCCCTTGGAACCTTGGTGGCAGAAAAGATCGCCGCAGCAGGGGGGCGTTCACCAGCCTGCTGCGTGCCCTAGGTATTAAGGATGCGGGGATCCAGCAAGAAAAGAAGCTCACATTGGTCAGGGCGTATTAATAGGCGGTGCAGACTTGATGTCTGCGCCCATCACCACCTCAATGATGTCACAGGCACACAGGCACAGACACAGACACAGACACAGACACGGGCTTGCCTTTGCCGCCGGTGTATCACTTGCTTTTGAGATACGGCAGCGTTGAGCAGCATACTCACGCCTGCACGTTCAACACCAATGTGCCATCGCTGCAATCGCAGCCGATAAAGCGGGAGCAGGCCAGCTGCCTTGCCCCGAGCCGTTCTTTTGTGGTGGTTTTCTTAGGCACGATGCGCGACGCAACCCGCACAATGTGCTTGGCAAGCACACCCTGGGCCCATTGACCTGGTGCACAGCTAAACGGAGTGGCAAGTGCGATGGACCCTTGCACAGCAAAGCCAAAGGCGGCAGCAGCAGGGCGCATCTTTCTTTGGCAGGGTGGCGCATTCGTTCAAGGCAGAGTGGGTCGTCTTAGTGTGCCTGGCAAAGCCAGGTGGAACAGGGCCGCGCACAACAGGGCCGCGTGAAACAGGGCCCGGGTGCAAGTTGAAGTCTATGGCCTCGCCCAAATCTTTCAGCGTGCGCTGGCTGGCCAGCGCCACCGCCGATTGCCTCGTATTTCGCCTTGTAGGCACCCAAATGTCACAACTGCCATGGTTATTTGAGTAGGTCGCGTCGTTCTCATCACGCCCCTAGGATGACCAGCTCTGCTGTCGCCGCTGCGGCCTGTTGGTCAGGGCCGCTGTCCTTGCGTTGACAGCCGCCGGCTGTGCTGACGTGGGGAAAGCCGGCCGCGACCTCGTCGAGCTGGTTGCTGTCGCTGCAGCACTGCGGTGTCGTTGCATTAGCAGTGTGGGCAGTGTGGGTCGATTGATGAAAGAGGAGCGGGCACGCAAGCTTCGAGCAGCAACCAGGCTTATGTGCACTCTTCTTGCAGGATTTCGGTGGTCGCAGCCATTTGTAGAGTTTGGTTCCGGCATGAAGACCAGCGAGGCATCCTTTAAATACCACCACACCACCACTGGATGCACTCCGGCGAAAACCCTGCCTTGTGCACGTGTTGCCTCCAGCACCTCCCCAGGCAGGTGCACAAGCCACACACACACCTGGATGATGCTCTCCGCGGCCGACCACGCCTGCGCCGCCGCGCACCGCACCAGCAGCGCCCTCAGCGCCTCGGCGGGCAGGCGCGCGCCCCCCTCCATCGCGCCGCGCAGCAGCCGGGGCGCGAGGTCCCACGCGCCCTGCGCCGCGGCGGCCTGCAGCGCGCGGCCGAGGGTCGGCTCGTCCATTGGCCAGCGGCGCTCGGCCAGAGTGAGGGCGAGGCGCAGCACCATGGCGTCGGCGCCGCAGGCGCCAAAAGCGGTTACGATCTGGTGGGGTTGCGTATTGTTTGACAGCAGGAGGGATTTAGAGGGCCTTGAAGGTTGCAAAGGGCAGGGTGCATTGCGATTGAGCAAGGTGACGGCAACACTGATTTCTTGTTGGCCCTGTGAAATGTGCAGCACAATGATGTTGTGCCCAACCGCCACGGCGCAGCGGCACGGGGCAGCACTCCCGGCGCCTTTGCCAGTGAACCAAGTCTGTGTGCCTGCCGCCACTGGCAGGGGGGCCGAAGGAGACACTCAGGGCCGGAGGTGGCCCCGGGCTCCACGCGTTAATCTATCCCCTGCTGCCACCCCTGTATCCCAGGACACTTGCAAGCCTCGCCTCCAACCGCACCTGCCACGTACCCCTGCTCAACAATCACGCACCTACCCCGCACACCTCCCGCCCCCCCCCCCCCACTGGCCATGACCAGGCTATTTGACACAAACTCTCGCCCCAACCGTTGGGTCAGCTCGTGTTGGGTCAGTGACTGACCCAACACGAGCGCATCCCTTCAATTTCGTCCCCTCCCTGTCACCGAATTCTTTGAACCCTGAACTGCAATGCAAATAACACCTCAAACCCCAAATGCACGCGCAGCCGCCCACCACGCCGTAGAGTGGTGTGTCAGCGGCCACCCCTTGTTCCAGCATGAGTGAGTACAGGTCAGCAGCCCTGGGATGTGGTTGGGGGTTGAAGGGTGGGCAGGGGTGGGGGATAAGGTGTGCATAAATTCTGTTGTGACAGAGCGCCCTCGGAGGGCGGGGATACAGGGGCTTTGACTGGTGAAGTTATGCAAGTTTCCAGTGGCATGCAAAGCTGGCAACAATAAGGGCCCAGGTCCCGCATCATGCAGCGCCGTCCTGCGTCCTGGGTGGCTGGGGCAGCGTCATGCAGCGTCACAGCCACTTTCCATGGGCGCTGGATCCCGAGACGCACACACCTGGTGCACACACTCGCTCGTTCTGCGTCGCTGGCAGCATTTGCGGCCGCGTCCGTCAGCGCCCTGCAAGTACACCAGGAGGGGTGCTGAAACTCGACATAGGTACCACCTGACTAAACACGCTCGAGGAGCGAGGGGTGGCACCGGCACGCCAACAACGGCGTTTTTTGGTGTACAGAGGTGCATTGACGCTGTGTGGCGGACAGCTTGCTGTCAGCCAGGCAGCCAGTCAGGAATGATGCCAAGATCCTGCAAGGCAGTGATGCTTAAGTGTCAAACCGATTGTTTCCACCGCACCTGAATAAGGGAGCGTACGTGGCCGCGCTGGGCGGAGCGCCACTGCTGGGGGCGCCCATGTGCCTCAGGACACCCCCGACACGCTGCCAGTCCCCGGCACGCGCGTGCGCGGCGGCGAGGGCGGAGAGGGTGGCTTGATTTGGGGCCAGGTTTGAGGCCACCAGGTCGTCAAACAGGTCCAGGGCCTGCCAGTGGGGGTGGCATTGGGTGGGGCCGCAGATGGGCAAAGTACTGCAGCGAGTTGCAAAGCTGGACGACTGGCGCGCTCGCGCATCTGAGCGTGGCGGAAGCATGCATTTGTTGCCGGGCAGCCCACCATGCTGACGTGGCCCGAGTCACTGCAGCCCGCGATGAGCAGGTTGAAGGTGGCGGTGTTCGGCTTGATGCTGCCCCCGCACGCCTTCATGCCGGCAAAAACCTGCATGGCGGTCGGCCAGTCGCCCTGCAAAATAGGCACGGGGTAGCAGGGGGCGAGGTGAGGTGAGGTCGGCGCGACGTGATGTGTGGAGTGATGAGCGGACTGATACCAAAGGCAGAGTGGACCCTCGTGAGGCTGTGAGGAGCACGCAGGCCGGTCCTGCGGGCCCAGCCACCGCAGACGTAGCCACCTGTCAAGTGACGTTTGCTCCGGCCCGCCCCTCGCAACTTGGCAGTCAAGCAACACCCACGCGTGCGCGCGCGCACGCACGCATGCACTCTCTCTCTGGGCCTGCATGCATGACTGCACGCGGGCATGCAGACGCACGCACACGCACGCTCACACGCGCGCACGCGCTGACTCACCAGCTTGAGGAGCGCCCCCAGATACGTGTTGGCGCAGCCCACGTGCACGGGCAGCCCCGACGCCTGCAGCCACGCCCAAGTCTGCACCACACGCCCCCAGGCGCCGACCTCTGACGCCAGGGTCAGCAGCGCGCCAAACGTGGCCGCGGTGGGCTCGATACCACGGGAGAGCATGTCATGGTACAGCTGGGGGGGGTAAGGGTTGGGGTGTTGAAGGATTCGTTGCCATGAGGGTTGCATGCTCAGGTGTCAAAGAGCTTTTCTGACAGCGAGAATTCTTACACCAAAGCGCGTGCTCGCAAGGCTTGCCGCGGTTTAAAGCAGAGCAAGAGGCTTCAAGGGGTCGAGGCGCGGGGCGGGGCAGCGCGCATCTCAGCCAGTCTTGTGACCTTCAGCCCTGAGCTCACCTCGAAGGCGACGTCGGCCTGATGGGCGCTGCCGGCCGCCTTGATGGCGGTGTTGTAGCTGCCGGGGTCGGTGGGGGGGGTGCGAATTGTTTGGAGCGGAGGTGTTGAAGAAAACAACGATCTCAGGGAGGGGGGGCGGTAAGAGGCCAGCGGGTGCGTGGCGGTGCACCTCAACCCGTTCACCAAGCTGGGCGCTGCGCCAATTCGATGCCAATTGCAGTCTGCAGTAAACGCACCTGACGATGTCCGGGGTGAGCTCGCCGCCACACGCCCACATGCCGGCTAGCAGCGCCAGGGCGCGCCGCCACTGCGCCGGCGTCGCGCGCGCGTACGACGCCAGCAGCGCGTTGCAGCACACGCGGTTGGGGGACGCCTTCTTGGTGCTGAGGCTGCCGGCACGCGTCAGGCCGCAGCCGCTGCCGGCACGTGTGAGAGCGGCGCCAAAGCCTGCGGCGCCGACGCCGTTGGCGGGGCCGCGCACTGCGCCGGCGCCGGCGTCAAACAGGGCGAATGCAGAGGGGAGACATGCGCCCGAGGACGCAGCGGCGCGGCCATCTGCTCCTGCCACAGTCGCCTCGGGGGAGGCCGGCCATCCAGGACTGACGCGCTGCGCATCAAGTGCCGCCCGTGGCGGCGAGGGCGTGACGACCTTGTCCGGGTCCTCGGCAGCGGCAGCCCCGTGGCCGTTCTGGTCGCGGCCGCGAGCGCCGTCATCGCTGGGCGTGCCAGGCGCAAGCGGCGGGGAGCCGCCAGGGCACCTCTGCGTCGGAGGGCTCCCGGGCGCCGCGCCCAGCGCCGGGGCGGCGGGCGCCAGCAGGCCCGGAGGCGGGGGGCCGCGTGGCGCCGCGACCAGGCCGGCCGCAAGCTCCTCGGCCGGCGGCAGGGCCGACCCGACTGCGGGCGCGCCGCAGTTGCCGCCGCCGCCGCCGCCGCTGAGCGCATCGAGGGCCGCCAGGCTGAACGCGCCCTGCATGGACGCGGCCGCGATGGAGCCAGCGCCGCAGGGCGTGTCGTCCATCCCTTCGAGCAGGGGCGCCAGGGAAGCATCGGCGCAGTACATGTGCTTGAACACCTGCAGGGTCGCCCGCGATGACGAATGATGGCGGTGGTGGGTGCGTATTTTTTTGGGTGATCAGCTTGGGAGTGCCCGCTTTGCACAGGGTGATCAACAGGTTCATTCAGGCTTTGAATGTGTCGACATACTCGAGGGTGATGTGGGGGGCATTTGAGGCAGCAAACAGCACCCGTCTCGCAGGGACAGATTTCGGCTCACAGCTGTGGTAGATTTGTTCGAGGGAGGGGCGAGGACAAGGGGTGATGCGAAGCGCCATAGCTCAGGGTGCGATGGTGCAGCAGGCGCAGGCTTGCGGTCACTCAGCATCCAGGCCAAGACACACGCTGGTGTTTGATCCCGCGGCTTTAAGACAAACCCGGCTCCGCGCCCCCCTCGCTGCCTCCCCACCTGCTCGGCCATCTGCCACTGGCCGCCCTTGTCAAGCGCCGTGATGAGCGAGCAGCACGTCACTGCGTCGCACTCGACACCCTCCTGCGGCACACCAAGTCGTCCCACACAAAACGAGCGGGAGTTCGGCAAATTAGCCACACAACGGACTGCCCGTGTTCGCCTCGCATAAGAAAACAGCGCGGCCACTCGAGGTCTGTCGAGACGGACGAGGCTGCACACAAACGCCCGCGCACAGGCGTCGCGCAGCCTTGCGCTCGCGACGACGAGTGCGCCGCTGCGCGCATTGTATCCCTGGCCGGCGCACCTGGACCATGTGGTTGAACACGTGGATGGCCAGCCCCCACTGGCGGCCCTTGGACAGCGCAGAGATCAGGGCGGAGTAGGTGATTGCGTCCCTTTGAATAGGAGGGGCGAGGGCGGCGGTGAGGCGGTCAGGAGGTGAGGTGGTCGGTGAGGGATGCGTGGGAGGGCGGCGGGGTGACTAAGAATGGGGGTGCAAGTGAGGCAGGCGACTCACAAGAGTGGAGTGTGGTTCTGCGCACCAGGACAGAGCTACTCGGGCATGGTCCTTCCAGACTCAGCTGAGCATCTGCCTGGCAAAGCCCTGTGTCATTTGTGTGGATGGCGCCTGTGCGCGCCATTGCAAACAACCACACAACCCGAAACCATCAACCCTAGACCCTACAGCATGCACAGCCACAAATACAAGCTGGCGCACAGCAACCCACCCGCAAGCAGAAACTCATGCGCTGCCGCTGGCAGACAGCAGTGCACCCGTGCCCGCGCAACGGCGTGCCCAGAGGCGTGCGAACCTGGCCATTCCAACATCCGCCATGCGCCTGAACAGCTCCAGCGCAGCCTCCCACTGGCCGCCCTTGTCGCACGAGCTGATGGCCGCGTTGGTGATGGTCGTGTCCGGCCGCACGCCCACCGCGTCCAGCGACTGGTAGACTTCCAGCGCCTTGGCCCAGTGGCCCTCCTTGGTCAGGTTTGACACCAGCTTGGTCAGGCCTGGGGGTTGTGTGCGCAGACGCGAGGGCGTCGGAATAGGGTGGTGACGAGTTCAGAGGATGGGGTTGGTGGTGGGTGCTCGACTTGACGGGAGCAATGTGGCATGCAGACACAGCGCCTGTTTGGATGGGTGAAGGGGCCGGTCGGCGGCCTCGTTGGGGCGCCATTGAATGAGGCAAGGCTGAAGGTTCGGACCGCTGCTGGAAAGCTGACAGTGCGGGGGTCCTTGAGGGAAGGGTTGTTCCAGGCTGGGCGCGGCACGCCCGGCTGCGCAAGCACCCGCGCGGCACTCACCGGGCAGGCGGGGCTTGAACGTGCATGCGGTCAGCACGCGGCGCACGTCGCCAGTACCGGCCTGGACGTGACCCAACATGGTGGCCAGGCTGCGGGGGTGGGGGCGGTGCGGGCGTGGGCAAGTGGGCGAAGGCAATTGGTGGTGTTGGCATAGCCGGTCGGCCTGAGTGGTTGATGATACCGGATGGGAGTGACGCAAGCACGGCCTGGAACCCACAGTCTCAGCCAGCCAAACGAGAGCATCACGGTGCCGAGGATCTCCATTGCGCAGGCAGAATCCGTCAAGCAGCGGCGGATGTGAAACACTGCATGCTGGACTGTTGCTTGTAAATCAATCACTGCACCTCCAAACGTGCAAAGTTACCTCTTCATGTCAAAGACCGGGCAGACAGCCGTGCAGCCCCCCGCCGCGTCCAGCCGCGCCCTCAGCGGCTGCTGCGGAGGCGACCCCGCCCCGCCGCGGACGCCGCCGGGCTGCTGCTGCTGCTGCAGCTGCACGCGCGGCACGCAGGGCTGATGGGTCTTGAAGTATAACTGCTGCTGCGGGGGGTGGTTGTGGACGAAGCCACCCTGGGCAGCGGCGAGGGCCGCGACATCGGCGCTGACGCTCCGGTGGAGAGCCGGCGACGCCGCGGCGCCGTGCGGCGACGATCCGCAGCCGAAGCCGGGTGAGAGCGCCGAGCCCGGACGAGGGAGCGCCGCGGGGCCGCCGCCGCCAAAACCAGCGCCCGCGGGGCTGCCGAGGCGGCCGCCGCCGGCCGCGTAAGCCGCCGCGCCGCCGGGCGCAGAGCGCCCGACCGCCGCCGCAGAGGTCGCGCCGTAGGGCGACGGCGGCCCTCGCAGGATCGGGCGGGGCGGCGGGTGCGCCGGGCTGCCGCGCTCGCTGCCGGCGGCGCCCAGTGAGAGGGAGCCAAAGTCTGGGAGGGCTGCTGACGCCGAGAACAGCAGGGGCTGGCTGCCAAAGGGGCTGCTGGCACCGAGCTGGGCCCCAAGCAGCGCTGGCCCCTGGGAGGTTGCAGCGGTGGTCGGGGACGACCCGTACGCGCCGCCCTGCCAGCCGCAGGAGCCGAAGGGCTGCAGCAGGGTGCCACCCGTGGGCGGCGACGCAAACGCGGCCGCCGCGGTGGCGGCAGCACTGGCCGCGGCGAAAGGGGAGGCGGCCGAGGTCGCGGCGGCGTGGGGTGCCATGGGGGGTTGCGTTGGGGGCTGGGGACGGTTGCTTGTTGAGGCGGCGCAGACCAGCCTGTGAGCGAGGCGTGGTTACAGGGGTGTCCAAGAAGTGTGGTTGCTGGTCAGGGTTTCCTGTCGTCAGCGTGGCCTGCTTGTTGGATTGGGGAGTTGGCTTGTCATCGCGGCAGTTGAGTGTGTGGCTGTTTGCCACAACCCACATTTGATGTTCAGAGGGCGCGGCGCACGCGGTCGGTGCGCCGCCGCGGCCTTGGGAGCCCCAGTTTCGATCAACCCTTGGGAACATGCATGCTTGGCAGTGGGCAATGCAGCGCGGCCCTGTAGGCACGGTTCGCACCCTAGTCTCTCGAGGGCCCTGCGTTCTTGTGGTGCGTCGTGGTGCAGCGCGACGCGGGGATCCTCCACGGGGTCTGAGGGGTCCGGTTCACGCTGTGCTATACTGATACATCATGGAACTTTGAGATACTGGGCAATAGTGGCTGAAAGAAGGGTGCTCGACGCCGTTGTGTCGCGTTCAGTTGAGCGGCGACGTTGAGTGATTTTGAGGTCTCCGGACCGCCTCGAAGGGCAAATTGCAACTAAACGGGCTGATATGAAAGTCCACGCATCATCAGGGGGCGCTTGGCGACCCCAGGTCTGCCCCAGGTTGTCCGAGAATGCGCAACAGATCTCCGCAGAGAACTCACTGGGCCCCCATAGCAGCCAGAGAACAGTCGAAAGCGGTGTCATCACGACAGGGGTGCCGCAGTGCTGCGTGGCCTGCACCACAGGACGCTGGCAGGGGGCGGCAGCAGCGTGCCCACAGCGACCCGAGGTGCTCCCGCTGCTGCTCAGCCAGCCTGCCATGGCTGCCCCATGTTCATGCCATGGTACAATGACCAGAGAGTTACAGCCAGGGGGCGCCCGCAAGCCGTCACGCCCATTCCCGCGGCTGCCGCAGCACGTCCAGCAGCCGCGCCTCGTCAGACCCCTCGTCCGGCCGTACGTCGTACTTCCATGCGATCAGCGGCGGCGCGGACACCATGATGCTCTCCACGCGGCCGCCGTCCAGCCCGAACTTGACGCCGCGATCGTAGAGCAGGTTGAACTCCAGGTAGCGCCCGCGCCTGCCACGGTCGGGTCGGCAGATGGCAGTTGGTTTGTGGCCGCGCAGCGGCGCCAGGCAGAGATGCGGCCTGATGAATATGATGATGCATGCCCGGCCAAGACATCAAGTGCATCTCTTGCCAATTGCCAATTACTTTGAAGCAGCAAAGCAATAATGCTGTGCGCGCAAGGTATATGTATGTGTGTGGGGTGGACTGCGGGCATGCGCGCACTCCCGCCGCCCCTCGGACGCTTGCGTTAACACACCTGGTGAGCTGCCATTGCCGCTGGCTGTCAGTGTAGGGCAGGCGTCGCCGCCGCTCCGCGATGGCGCGCCAGCTGGGAAGAATGTTGTCCCCCACATCCCTCACAAACGCCTGCAGAGGCCCAGAGCAGCGGGTGAAGGTGTGCAGCACCTAGGTTCGCAAAAACAACCGGACCCTTGGATTGGGGATGACACCAGGATCAATCATCGAACCGTACTGCCTCGCCACCAGCCATATGCCGGTATGGATGTCTCTGCCACCCTGTTTGCGGGCAGGGTTCCCTGGGACCCCCACAGCGCTCCGCCGCACCGCACCTCTGCATCATAGCCGGCCTCCCCTGTGGCGATGTCGTCGAAAAACAGGCCCCCGATGCCGCGGTGCTCCTTGCGGCATGGGATGTAAAAGTACCTGGGATGAGAGTCGCGGTGCACATGTGAGCGCTTCTGTTAACCTGTTTGCTGCCCTTTGCCGCTTGCGGGCCGGCCGGGCCGGGCCGCCACCCCTTGGCTCAAAGCACGGGGTTATGGCTGGCAATGCGCCAAACACATGTGGCATCACATGCGCTGAGCGGGTTGTCAGGCGGTAACCCCTGTCCAGACGCATCCTGCTGGCAGGTGGGCGGCACACACGCGCCCACCGTCGCATGGGCCATCGGCCCCAGGCTTTGCCTCTGTAAGGCTTGCCAAGTGCACCCTCTCCGCAAGAGCAGCCAGCGCGCGCCCCGCCACGCGCTCTCACTTGTCACACCAGGCCTTGAAGTCGGGGTACACGTGGGGCGCATACTTGTCACACACGGCCTTCCAGTGGGCGTGGAACTCTGCTGCATCCTCCTCAAACAGGTAGCTTGGCGTCAAGTCGCAGCCGCCGCCAAACCAGGCGTTGCCGGCAACCTGGGGGGTCGTCGAGGTGAGGTCGCAGAAGGTATAAGTGGAGCAGGTGTGGGAGTGGGCCAGGTGGAAAAGAAGGAGCTGTCAGGGGCCACAGCTGCCCTGCAGCGGCGGCTGGGCGGCGCCGTCCAGGGCCCTGACATGCGCGCGCCGCGTTTGTGGTTGTCACCTGGAAGAGGCGCACGTCTGCCCGCAGTGTCGGGACCAGGGGGTGCGCTGCGTGGAACACGAGGGACATGGCCGCGGCGCTGTACGGCTGGCCGCCCTTGGGGTCGATGTCGGCGCGGCCGCGGGAGCTCATGGCCTGGGCCGGCAAGGCGGCGGGTGGGGACATGAGGGAGCGCGGCGCGGCAGCGCGCGGCCAGCGTGGCGGCAGGCAATACGAAGGTGTAATGCTGGGGCCAGCCGCCACAACTCACCACTGTTTTGGAACAATCAAATGAGGAAAGGCCTATCACTCTGCCGTGTTACAAGCTGTCTGATCCAGACCAACCGGTGGCACGATGGCGGTAATGCCGAACGAAACCTGCCCGCCAGCAGCCCACCTGCGCGCGCTGTGGGGACAGCTGCCCGTGGATGATGCTTATGTTGGCTGCCGCCTTCTCCAGCAGGTCGCCCCCCTCCAGCACGCAGGTGATGCCATAGCCTGAGGGGCAGCGTTGGTGAGGCGAATGGGGTGTGAGATCAGAGTGGTGGGGCCATTGGGCCTGCCCGGTCAACTCAGCATAATCTACACCCACGGTGGGCAGGTTATCGCAGCTCAATTATGTGGAAGTGCACACACTTACAGCCGCGGTCCAATCACAGCCGCGGTCCAATCACATGGACATAGCAATCAACAGTGTAGGCACAAGCACAAGCCCAGATATACCCACAAACCACCCTCACCAGCATTGTCACTGCCGCGAGACCACCTGTCGCGCAAAAACTTCCTGCCGCTGCCGTCCAGCTGCTCTGCCTCGGTTAGGATGCGCTCCTGAAGGTCCAGCACATACTTCTCAAAGCCCTTGAAGTCCTCGTCGCTGCCGATTGCCGTTGCGGCTGCATCCTGCGCCACAGCTGTCGGGGTACTGGCGGGGCGGCGCCGCAGCATGCGCGCGCTGGGCGTGGCGTGGAGAGCTGTGCCACGTACATTGACACTGAGATTGCGGTGTGATGTCGTGACCAACATCTCTACTGTTTGCGGACACCCTGACCGCTCTCAGAGATGGCCGGGAGATCCGAACAGGGTGGTGTAAAGGCCACGGAAGGAGGATGGTCGTGATATCTGACACGTCATTCATGCCAAGTGGCGTGCAACGTGCCAAACTGCACTGAGAGGGTCAGTCACCCCCTCAATGACTGCGAGTGACACCTGCTGACAAAGAGTGGGCAACGCTGCTGCAACAACGGCGTTTTGGTGAACCGTCGAGCACACACTACTGTCAATAGATTTAGCTTGTGATCGACAGGACCTCACCACGCCAAAGTTGCAACACGCGGCTCTGTTGTACGCGTCGCCGAGGTCAACAAAAGGGTGATATTATTTGCACGAATAACATAGATCAAGCGTAGCGCACGCCGAAGCTTAGTCTGCTCGCCACCGCCGACGACGGCAGCCGCCTCAGAGCAGCGGCGTGCTGCACTGCGGCAATTCGCGCAGAGCCACGTCTGCTTCCAGCCGGCGAGCTTGCAGAATATAGCAGGAGTTTTGCGGCTGACTGCTACCTTGTTAACAGTGGCTTGACTGTCTTGCAAAAGGCAGGACCTGCAGCGGACCTGCGCCGGCGTTCGCGAACGTGGCAGTGGCATCAGCGACGGCTGCGTGCGCGTTCAGTGCCGACGAGCTGCAAGCGGGCTTCAACTGAAAGCAGCAGCATCAGGAGTAGCAGCAGCACCCACCTGGCAAGATGGGGCGGTCGCGGCGGCGCATGAAGAAGACAGCGGCGAAAGTCAAGGTGTGCAGGAGTTGCCCGTCGCAGGACGGGCAGGCGCGCTGGTCCTGCTTGCCAATGCGTGCGACTGCACACGCGCCAGCTTGTCCACAACAAATGGCCCTTCGAAGACACTGCTCCTTGCGGCGGCTGACCCTCCCAGGTGGGCGTTGTGAAACGCAAGAAGAACCAGAAGGCAAAGCTGCCCAAGGAGCTGACGGAGGCGCGGCCAGACGTGGAGAAGCGGCTGCAGCAAAAGTGCGCGGCAGGCCGGAGGCCAGCGGGGTTGGGCATGGGGATGGGAAGGGGCTTGCAGAACGCAGCTGCGCTGAGCCGATTGCACGTCTCGAGCATCGCACCTGTCAGCTCTGCTACATGGAGGCGTCACACTCAGCTTTGGCGCATGCCTCAGCAAGCCGTGGCAGGCAGTGCACCCCCGCTCTTAGGCGCCCTCGCGCACTACGCTTGTCTCTTACACGCCCTGCGTACTCGTTTGCCAAGCCCAGGCCGGAGTGGGAGGAGGAGGCCACGCTGACGACCAACTACGCGGCCAACCAGTTCGTGCTCGACCCCAATGAGGGCTTTGGGCGCAACCTACGGCCGGCCCCGCTCAAGAGCAAGGAGGAGCGCGAGGCGGAGGACGGAGAGACCTTCTCGGACGATGACGGTGCGCTTGCGGGTTTAAGCTGTGGGTTGGGTGGTGGAGGGCTCGAGCGGGCAAGCAGGGGTGTGTGTGGTGGTGATGGAGGCATGGGACCACAAGATCATCGTTGTCACGTCAAGTTTATACCGCAGTGTAATGGTGTTGAGAAAGTCCGCGGAATCGACGTATGTGTGCGTGTGTGTGCATGTGCGTGTGTGTGTGTGTGTGTGTGTGTGTGTGCACTAGCGCGAGGTGCAGACAGGGGTTCACAGGCTGTTTGGGGGGCTCGCATGCGCCCAGCCGCGGCATCCTCAGCGCGCGCCAGGCTGGCGCCTGCCACTTGCGCGCAGCCTCAAAACTTTTCCCACTCCGCTTGCAGAGATACGGGCGGCCACGGGCAACATCCGCAAGACGGGCAAGGCCGCGCCCCAGCCCCTGACGGCGCACCAAAAGCAGATCGTGCAGCGGCTCATTGACGCGCACGGGGAGGATGTGAAGGTGGGAGGGGCGGTCCTGTTGCCAAGAGCATGGGGTTTCTCCTGCTCACTCCCTGTCAATATGTGCTAGTGCACACTTCAGCCGCTTGCTCTCCTCTTTCTTGCTTTCGCTCCGCCCGTCGCTCTCTGCACACATCCACTCTTCCCTCTTTCAAATCTAAAATACCCTACTCCCTTCACCCCGTGGATTTGTGGTACACCCATGTGAGCTTACAGGCCTGGTTCCGCGACACCAAGCTCAACCGAATGCAGCACTCTGAGGGAAAGCTGCGTGAGCTGCTCGAGTCGTTCAAGTTCCACTCAAAGCGGCCAGAGGGCGACCGCCACGATTTCAGAGCGCCGCGGAAGCCGTTCAAAAGGCTGTGAGCGCTTTAGGTAGCGAGGGGTTTGTGGGCTTGAGGTTTGTGCAAACCTAACTTTATAACTTACCCAGTTCTAATCGTTGGACAATGCGTTGATGCGGTTTGAATTCAACATAACAGCAGCTGCACCGTGGCTGTAATCTTACACGGTGCGTCGTCTTGAAGCATCTGGTATGTGAGGGAGCGTAGTTGCACAGCGGTGCAGGCAGCTGCACACCATTCTGTGCAGGTACTGTAGTGTTCTTGCTTGAATGTGTCATCCATGCTCTGGTCATGCTGACTCGCACCCTCAATATTACGACAAGTGGGGGCAGCTGTCAGGTATCAACTGCTTTCAAAAACCATGGAGTGCTCTAGAGTTCGGGGGCAAGCAACCCATGCATAAGGCAAGGCTTCAAGCATGATCCTTTCACGGCGATGCACATCAGTTTGCAATGCACCGCTTGTCTGCAGCATGGACACAATCCACCGACGACGGCTGACCTTGGAGTGGGCACTGCAGGGGTGCGGAACCCGCACAACAACAGCCCTTGATGTGCTGCTCCAACGTTCAGTGATTCGGATGTGGTGTGTTACTTTCGATATATGTTCTGATATGTTCTGATGATATTGTAGGCGCCCCTTGTATACTTGTGACGACGGCGTTTGACGTTTGGGGTAGTCGCCGGCACAAAGGGCTCCTCGCCCTCGGACCCGGCCTGCTGGCCGACTTAAGGGCTGCAAATCAATTTGCAAGCAGCCAGTCGGGGTTCAGGCCATTCGCGCGGCGCGGTTCCAAGCCAGATCGCCAACGGGACGCTCAGCAGCCTTGAAGGCATCAGGCACACACGGAGCTCTTTTTTAGATTGTAGTGACTGGGACGGCGAAGGCTGCGCGCCATGGACCTGCTGGTGCGAACCCGCCCGTTTACGATGCGAGCGGAGCAGCGTGCCATTCCAGGAGGTGTTTGCATGCAGTCCTTATCAAGCGCGTTGGTGCCGCTACGAGGCCCGCAGAGCATGCACGGTCGCAGCCACGGCTCTGCTCAGCCATCCGCCATGCCAACAGTCAGCATGACAAACAGCATGACAAACGCATGCTGGCCGCAGCCCAGCACTGCATGCGGTTGCCGCTCTGTGCACATGGCTCATATCGTGGCATGCAAGCATTGTCATCGGTGCTGCCCCGCGTGCTGAAGCCCCATGCGCCCCTCGTTGCACCGCACCGGTTTAGGAGTTGCTGCGGCAGGGCGGCGCCGCACTGACCCAGTGCCCCAACGCGGAGCTGCTGCCACTGCTGCAGCAGGCCGTCTATGATGAGAGCGTTGGCCCTCGGCTGTTTTCAGACAATGCGGCGCTTGCAGGCCTCTGCTGCCGTCTGATTCATGTGCGCTGCTGTTGAGCTGCTTCGTGCACACCTGGCCGTTTGTGCACAGCTGGCCACGTGCGTTTGAAACTTCGCCTTTGCAACGTGGCATTGCATCCCAATAAGATCCAGAAAGTGCATTATAGGGACCATCCATGCACATCAACTCTATGTTGCGTGCCAACAACCCAAGCATGAACCCATGATCCATGCACGGCCCCCCAGGCGGTGGTCTGCTAACAATGCAGTAGTAGCTTACGGCGGGACATCACAATGCCCAACCATAACACCGCATACACTCCCCCCAGGCCTGCAAGACCATCACAGACGCGACTGATGTTGACCAAGCCACCGAGAACGAGATGCATTTCATACGATTTGCCTTTGGGCTCACGCCGCGGAGCGTCAGGTGGGCGGACCACTTGCTGCGGTGCCAAAGGATCCTAGGAGGCCAGCGCCCTCTGCGCATGCGTGTGTGGTCGCCAAGCTGCTGCCTGATGTCACGTGATTGTTGTGTGGCTGAGTCCTATAACATGGTCTCTAAGCCACAGGTTGCGCTGCATCTGTACCTTACCCCGCACCTACCAGCCCCGCGCTCATTGTTGCCGGCACCACCCACTGCCACATCTGCAAAACCCAAACCCGCAGCTCCTCCCTGGCCATTCGCATCCTTTACAAGTCCAAAGTCTTGAGCGTCCTGGAGCAGAGCATGGAGACGCTGTGGGACGTCGCGGACCAGGTGGAATGCGGCGTGGATCTGGCTGGAGTGTCGATGCACCACTGAATTTCTTCCCCAGCAACCTCGTATTGCCAGGTTCCCCCAATCTTGAGCCTGCGGCTGCTGAGGAAAGGCGCCGTCATCATTTGGGATTTGCCAATAATCCAAAGTCAGCGTGCCGCGCAGCCTCACGCCTGCCCCGACCCGCCTTCCACAGGTCGGTGCCGACAGCCCAGGTGTGGAGAATGCCCTGGGCTCCATGATACAGGCAGTGGATGACATGAGCTGCTACGAGTTCAAGCTCGCGCCGCGGGAAGACGGACGTGCGCCAAGCCAGGGTAAGCGGGATTGTCGATTTGCGCTAACACCCTGCATCCTGCTGTGCTGCAGAGCGCGCTGGTGTGCTGGTGGTCCCTTCTCGGGAACTTCAAGAGATGTATGCATCGTCCTGAGTCTCAGTCACACAACGCTGGTGCTTTACTGTACAATCCCATGAGCCTGGATGGCTCCAGGAGCGGGCGACCGCGGGACGCTGTAACAATCCTAATCCTAATCCTAATCCTTGAGCACTTGCCTGACACCTCGGTCCGGCCTGCGCAACCCTCGCAGTGCCGGCCGCGCTCGCATCCCAGCAGCCCGGCGGCCGCTCTACTGGGCGGGTGGTGCTCGGCCCCATCATGATTCCGCAGCTGATGCTGGTGCTGGGGCTCAATGAAAGGTGAGACCGGCTGTTGTACAATCAACCCGCTCGGACGAATATGGTTCTCAATACACGCCTGATGGCCATGCTGCTGTGCGCTGCACCGCTCATGCTGCCTTCATCTGCCTGATGCTTCTGCATTCCATGTTACCCATGGGCGACGCCCCATGCCATAACTCCCGCCCACCGCATTTCCTGCGCAGCACCACGCCGTACCTGCTGCGCCGGGACGCCACGTCCTGCCTCCTGACCCTGGCCACGTCCTCCAAGGCCAACCAGCGCGTCCTGCTGCGCCATGAGGCTCGCGAGGGCGGGCCGGGCGGCCAGCCGGAGGGCATGGCGCAGCGGCTGTGGGGCCGGCTGCTGCGGAGTTGCGGCGACTATCCCATGCAGGTGCGTCGCCGCATTGCAGGCGCTAGACATGCTGTATGCGTGGGCCACATTGAAACGCGTTCCGCCGTTTCCTCATCTTCAACGCAGCTCATAGACTGTGTCTGCGGCACAATCTCCAACATTTCAGCAGTACTGATCATGTGCTTCTTGTCGCTCTATTTCAACATCCACTACCCACCCCACTCTACTGGGCATGGGCCACACGCCCCTCCCCCTTCCAGCGCGACCTGGCTGAGCTGCTCTACCGCTGTGCGCGCAACGGACGCCCCGACCTCCACGCGCGCTTCCTGGGCGACCCGGAGCTGGCTGCCGCGTTTGATGAGGTGCTGGAGCAGGACCCCAAGGTGGGGCTCGCCTGGGTGATCAGGGGCCTGCGTGGGGTGCGAGGGCGTGCAGCCATGGAGTGTGTGCGTGCACGTGCGCGCGTGCGCGCGCGTGTGTGTGTGTGTGTTCGTGTGTGTGTGTGTGTGTGTGTGTGTGTGTGTGTGTGTGTGCGTGTGTGTGTGTGTGTGTGTGTGTGTGTGTGTGTGTGCGCGCGCGCGCGCCATGTGTACCGCTCGCCGCCCAGGGGCATGAGCCGCAACTGATCAGCGCAGCAAGTCCGTCAGCATGCTCCCTGCGCGTTCCCCAACCCAGCCGACGCCCTCCCTTGCGTCACAACCACTGCGTGCACAAACGTTGGACCCATCATCAAACCCTGTCTGTTCACCACTGCAGGACATCGACCTGAGCGCGGAGCTGCACCGCTTCCTGGGGCGCTACAATGAGCACTATCACGACCTCACGGGGTGGGGAGCAAGGCTAGCGCGGACGGCTTACATTTTTGATAGGGATTTCCCAGGCACATCCCAGGCAAAGCAATTATGCCCACCATAACAACCCCATGCACTATTGGGGCCGCCTGTGCTGTCACCCTCACGCTCTTCTTCCATCACAGGGTGGTCTCTCTTGAGGCCGACTCCATTGAGCTGGCCATGCCCTTCCTTGCACCAGAGGCGGGGCCTGAGGGCAGGCTGCTGCACCTGGGCCGCGGCCACATGACTTTCGCGGCACGCAGGGTGAGAGCGGGCTGCTGAGAGCGGGCTGCTGCATAGCAGCGTCTCCGCACACCATGTACCTTGGCTACTGTTTGGGCTTTGCAGATCCCAGGACCTGGCCTGCGGATATGAAATAGCAGTGGTAGGCGCCACACCACAGCTTTTTGGAGGTTGTCAAATAACTACACAGAAGATTAATCTTCTTTGCTGCCTTCTCACCTCCCCCCACCCCTAATGCCTGGCAGATCGAGGACGGCCAGGGCGGCGGCAACGGCGGGGAGGGTGGAGACGATGCGCCATTTGACTACTGTGACATCAATTATGGTAGGCTGTGGTTGATAATTGGTGGGGTGGGGGGCGCAGGCGTTCAGAGGCTTGCCTGTGTGTTGGGCTGCGGTGGCGGTTGATTTCGCAACACTACAGTATACAAATTGGTTTTTGTACTAGAAGGGGGCTCTCATGATGCTGTCAAGCTGCAGGGCTTGGGCCTGGACTGCAGTTCTTGGGGCGGGGGTGGCTGATAGGCGTGGGTCAAGGTGCAAGCGGACAGAGTCAACCAGGCTCTGCCATGAGAGGCGTGTTGTCTTGCGTGTTGCTCATAGTTGGCGCCTCTTCGTGCTTCTTGCCGCCTTGCATATTCGAGCCATCGCAGTCACCCCTGGCACAAACATCAAAACCAACGCCTCCCTGATCCTACGCCCCATTGCTTACACCGTGCATCAGGTAATATTGAGTCGCTGCGCCAGCTGGCGCCAACCCCTGGCAACGACCACGGCCCCCTGACATTTGACCTGCGACTGAGGGAGGCGCCAGCGCTGCTGGCGGCGCAGGCGGACGATGACACGATTTACCCCAGGTGCCCGTGATTTGTGTGACAGTGAAGCTCCAGAGCAACTGCCTTGCTTTTAATTACATTTAGGAGCACAAAATGTTGTCGCAACACTCCCTGTACTCATTGCACCTGGCATCCACTGGACCCAATGTAGTATGCTGCAACTGCAAACTCAAGCTTAATGTTGCTGCAACGACAAAGTGCTGCAGCCACCAACCCAAGCCCAAAATATCACTGCGACTGCCCACCCAAGCCTGAACACTCCGCCCTGCACCCAACACCCTCAATCACCCCTTCCAGGGAAAGCTACCGCGTACGCCTGGTGCTGGGCTGGAAGGCCGCCAACAAATTCAAAGCAGAGCTGCAAGAGGTGGGGCCCTTCGTCAGCAGGCTGCATGGGCAAGAGGATGTAAGGCACTCGGCTGCACTGGGGCCAGGGCCATTCGACCATCTCATTTGCTTGCTCGAGTGATGCCCGCTGGCACATGCAAGCACGGGATGGTTCATGTGACGCTGCGCCGTCGAGGCACTCACGGCCTTAGTATGCCCCTCACCGTTGACTGGGACAACATTCTTTGTCCTCACTCACCAGGGTCACAATCACCATGCACAACCCCTTGCCCCCCCGCCCCTACCACGCGCGCATGTGACCACAGGCAGGCGTGGCGATGCTCCTGCCCAGTGTGCATGGGGCGGCCACAGTGACTCAGGGCACCAATGGCAGCACGAGGTCCTGGATGAAGACGTCCATGTGAGGCTGAGAGGCTCGGGGGATTGGGGCCGGGGTGGTTTCGGGTCGATGGCATGGTCGTGGCAAATGTGCGGGCTTCGTGTCGCCTGCTGTTGTCGCTGCGCCAGAGGGTTTCAACGTGCGGTGCGCACTGGTGATCGCAGTGTATCGCATTGGGAGCAAGCGTCTCCCTTTTGAGTGTACCAAGGTTGGAGTTTTTGAGTCGACGAGCGTTGCGCCATGCAGGCCTGTCACTCCTTTCCGTCATTTTCTCACCTCATCCCCCTTACACACATGCACACCCTCCTGTTGGCACCGCAACAGCGCCACCATGGGCGCCAGCCGGGGCCAGCTGCCCCTGAAGCCTACTTGCGCCCAGGCCGCTGCCGCGGCTGCCAGCAAGGGCCCTCTAAACCTCCAGAGATCAGAGTTCAGCCCGGATCTGCCCCTAGACCGCGCAGACGGCACTCGAACCGGTGGCGGCCCGGCCGCCAACGGCGGCGGCGGCGCCGCTCAGATGGCTGCTGCTGCCGGGGACGGCGGCGGTCTGGGCGTGATGGTGCAGGCTGGGGCTTGGCACGGTCGTTCGCCGCTAGGCACCATGGTGACGCCGGCAGAGCAGGTGGTGAGCAAAGAATTGGATTATTATGGAACTTTGAATATCAGGGAGCGCCCTGGCGACTAGAAATGCATGCGAAGGGAATTTGAGCCGCCAGGACACATCGCAAACAGATACTGCTATGCTCCACTTGCACTGTTGATTGGGCTTGAACACTGAGCTGCACCCAACTTGCACCCATCGCAGCCCGCGGCGCGTTGCCAAACTACCCATTCATCCACGTATTTACCAAGCTGGTCGACCCACTCACTCGTCGCCACCCGCCCGCCCATCTGCCGCCAACCCACTCACTCCATCATCTGCCTGTGGTGCGCGCAGGTCCCCAACTACCTAGCGCCCTCCCTCCCAGACGCCACCACCGGCCACCCCACCGCTGGCGCTGCGGACCATCCAAAAGACGCCGACGAGGGCATGCGGGCGCCCGCCGCGCCAGCGGCTCCCGCCGCTGGTGGCGCCGCGGCACCCGACCTGGCGGCCGCGTCGCCCTACGACGGCGCCATGCCGCTGCAGGCGGCCCTGGCGCCCGGCCAGGCGGCGCCCGGCCTCGCTGACGAGGACTATTTGTTGGCGGACAACGACCTGGAGCAGCTGGTCAACGGGCACCCGGTGGCCAGCCTGCGCGCGCACACGCCGCTGGCGCGGCCCGCCCTCTCGGGGCCGCAGCTGGGGGCGTGTGAGGAAGCGGGGTGGGAGGAGGAGGTGACGGGGGCCGGGGCGCCGGCGCAGGCGGCAACGGCGCCGGCGCCGGCGGGGGCGCACGGGCGAGGCGGGCTCGAGGGGGCGGAGGGGCAGCAGAAGCAGGGGGGTCATGCGGCGCAGCACCTGGAGGGCGTGCAAGGGCAGGCAGCCGCAGCGCCACAGGCACGAGCCAATGGCAAAGGCAAAGCTGCCAAAGGTGGTGCCACGGCCAAGACAAAGGGTAAGGCCAGGGGAGCGGTCGGCGCCGCGGACGCGGCGGCTGGCAGGGCAGGGCGCAAGAAGGCCACGGCGCCTCAGGTGGGGAGGCCGGGCTCGGGTCAGGAAACAACACAAAGTGCCGCCCAAACGTCCGCCTGCTCCGCTCTCCTGGATGTACGGACCCGCTTGTGCTGAAATTCGCCTCACCCTCAGACTCCGCTTGTGTTGAGAGCCGTGCGCACCCCACAACGCGCCCTCCAGCCGCCTCCGGCCCGTGCGACGCGCCGCGGCGCCAAGGGGGCGGCAGCCAAGGCGGCTGAGGAGGGCACGCAGGACCAAATCGAGGTGACGCCGCCAGACGCAGCGCGCCAGAAGGCGCAGCCTGCCGCCATCGCTGCTGCTGGCGGTGTCCGCAAGCGCAAGGCGACGCAGCCGGCGGAGGAGGACGCCGCCGCCGTGCGCGGCCGCGACCAGGCCGCGCCGGCGCCCGCGGGCAAGGAGGAGACGCCGCATGGTCGCGGCAAGCGCCGCCAGGCAGGCACGCCGGCGGCGGCGGCGGCGGCCGGGGCGAAGCAGGCGCGGGCGGCGGGGGCTGGAGAGGAGGCGGAGGTGGACGGCGCTGGCCTGGCGTTTGGCGGCAACCTGCGGCCAGCTGCGGCGGAGGCAGTCAAGGGGACGGCGGCGGCGGCGGCGGGCCGAGGCAAGGGGGGCGGCAAGAAGCAGCAGCAGGAGCAGCGGGCGGAGCAAGAGGACTGGGTTCAGCCGGCGCGGGCAATGCCGGCTTGGATGGCAGAAGGTGCGGCTCGCCACGCAGGCATACATTACTTGGCGTCTCGCTTGGTTCCGCCGTGCATGTGTGACTGCCATCTGGAACTTGATGGGTGCGTCCCTGCAACCTGGCTCATGCTCATCCTCTCATTTCGCATCCTGTCCAACGCAAATGCGACCCACTTGGCAGGGCCGCCGCCCGCACAGCCCTGTGGCGAGCTCAGCGCCCTCAGCGACGACGACGACCAAAGAGAGGCCGGCCAGCCCCAGCCCCAGCCCGCACCCGCGCCCGTCCCTGCTGCCGCTGCGGCGCGCACCCCGCGCCGCGCGGCCCCCGCCGGCGCCGGCGCGTCGCCAGCCGCAACGTTTGGCCGCGGCAGCCGGCTCGGCGCGGGCGGTCGCCTCGCCAAGATGCAGGCGTCGCCTACGCCAACCCCGGGCAAGGCGTTCGCGCCGCCCGGCGCTGCAGCCGAGGCGGCCGCGGCCGCCCGTGTGGCGATGGAGGGGGCTGGCGGCGCTGAGGCCAGGGCGGCCAGGGGCTATAAGGCAGCCAAGGTGCGCCTGCTGTGGTCTGTCTGGTGGCATATCCAAACCTGACAGCTCAACAAGGTTGACCCTCTGAGCATACCTCGCCCCCTGCACTGCCCTCTGGGCTTGGCTTAGCATACTCATACAGAAAGCAAGTGAGCGCCAAGCGTCTGACGTGAACACCCGCCCCTTGCATCTCTTGCTCAGGCCAGCAGCGCCGCGGCGGCAGGCGGCAGTTTCAGCTTTGCTGTCCACCCCAGTGCCTCCCAGCCTGCCGGCGGTGCGGCGAAGCGCCCCGGCGCTCTGGCGGCCGTGGGCTCAGAGCCGCAGGAGGCCGGGTCGCCGTTCCTGCAGCTGGCGCAGAGGTGGGGGCCCGCACGGCATGTCGTCTGTTGATGTTGTAGCACGTGCATATTTGATTGCTGGGTCCCACTCAGTGACGACAGGTGTTGAGACATGACATCGACCAGGCAAAAGGGTTTCCAGTGGGAGCCCTGGGATGGTTTCACCCCCGCTGTGTTGAACCTCCGTATTGCGACCAGGGCTGAATCAGGCTTTGACCATACGCATTAGCCATTGCTGACACAGTGTGGGTGTGGCGGCGGTGACCATCCTTTACACGCAATACTGGCTTCACTGAACCCGCCACAACCTAGGAACTTACAGGCTTCCGATGTGTGGCGCACAAAGTGCTTCCAAACCCATGCATCTAAACACCAACCGGCGCAAGACCTCCCATGCTCCGCCCATACACCGTCACCCATCCTCGCTGGCAGGCCCCCCGACGAGTCCGCGCCCGAGTGGGACCTGCCCAACGGCGATGGCGGCGCCCCTGCCGCCGCCGCGCCCAAGGCACCAAAGCCCCGCCACGCAGCGAAGCCGGCGGAGGCAGTTGCGGCGTGCAGCAAGCAGCAGCAGAAGCAAGTGAGCAAGCAGGAGCGGGCGCGGCCAGCATCGCCGTATGAATTCGACATGGGAGGCTCAGACGAGGAGGGCGAGGGTGGCAAGGCGCGCAAGCCGTGGCAGCAGCGCGGCCGCGCGCGCCAGGCAGAGGTTGAGGAACCGAGCAGTGAGGAGGAGGAGAGCGCCAGGGAAGAGGCCGACGAAGATTTTAGGCCAAGGGGCGCCGCAGCAAAGGGCAGGGGTGCCAAGGGCAGGCAGCCCCCCGCTAGCAAGAAAACGGCGGCGATGGAGGAGGACAAGCACGAAGAGGGTGCGGCGGCCAAGGGCAGGGGGTCCAAGGGGGCAGCCAAGCCGCCAAAGGCCCCCAGGGGCGCTGGCGGCAAGGCCGCCGCCAAGGGCGGTTGCAAGAAGGCAGCGGCGGCGGCGACGGGCGCGGCGGAGGAGGAGCAGCCCGAGCAGGAGACTGGGGCGGCGGCAGCAGCTGCGGCCGGCGTCACTTCCGGCAGGGCGGCTCGCGCTTCCAAGACCAAGGTAGGACAGTGTTTCTAGAGCGCAGGTTGGGACTCGCATGTATGACTCGCTGACAAAATTCATGTGCCTGATAAATGCGGCATCGCGTTGTGGCGACACAAGTGCCTCGAGCGCTTGTGTGTCCCGGGCCCCCCCACAACGCAGGCCCCCCCCCAATCCCGTATCAACGCCCATTCCATAGGCCCTGGAAGCCCTCCACCGCCAGCAGCACCAGCAGCAGCAGCTCTCTCTGGAGTTGCGCAGCAACAGCCAAGACCTGGAAAACTTGCCGCCCTCCGCGGGGGGTCGCAGTGACGGAGCCGCGGCGCGCGCGCAAGTGGGGGTGCCCGGCGATTCCACGGCTGCAGAAGAGGAGCAGGCGGCCGCGCAGGACGCCGGGTTCGGGCTGGAGGAGGGCGGCGCTTACGATGATGGTGCCGGCGTCACGGCGGCGGCAACTGAGGAGGAGCAGCAGGAGCTCGGGCGGCCCGACGGGCGGGACGTGCCCCCGCTGGCCAAGCACGGCCTTTCACCGCTCCCGGCCAACCTCACTGGCGCCAAGGGCGCCGGCAGCCCGCCCCACCCGCTGCCCCAGCTGCACCCGCCCATCAAGTCCCTGGCCAGCCTGGACACAGGCCCAGGTGCCGCTGCCGCCGCCGCCGCCGCCGCTGCGGCGGAGCAGCCAGTCCTGAAGCTCGGGCGCCTGTCCGCCCCCAAGACAGCCGGCGGGCGGCGCGTGACGGACGCCACCCCGACAGCCGACGACGCCGCCGTCCTCGCTCCTAGCACCCGCCGCGGCGCGGCGCCCGCGCCCGCGGCTGCCGCGGGGCCGGCGGCGGCCGCGCCGCGGTTTGCGCTGCGGCAGCCCACGTATGCTGGCGGGGCCTGGGCGGCGGAGGGCGAGGTGGACGAGATAGAGGACACGCAGACAGAGCTTGCAAAAGCGGCTGCCGCTGCCGGCGCCGGCGCCAGCAAGAGGCACCTCAGCGGCCTACCGCCGCGGCCCGCGGTGCCTGGCTCGAGGCCCGCCCCGGGCGCGCTGCCCGCGCTTGCGGACCAGCAGGGCCACGCATTCGAGGGGGAAGGGGCACAGGCGGATGGCGCGGCTCGCAAGCGCCAGAGGCTGATGGCGGCGGACGACGCCGCGGCGCTGGCCGGTTCGCCAGACTCCGAGGGGGCGGGCGGGCCGCCTTCGCCGGGCAGCAGCGCCGGCACAGAAGGCGGCGACGAGCTTGCGGCGCTGCTGCGCGGCGGCCGGCCACCGCAGCGGTCTGCCGGGCTGCCGCAGCTGCCAGGGATGAGGCCGGAGGCAACGCCGTTGGTGGGTGCCTGCGATGTGGGGGAGGTCTGCTCGTCAATCTTGAAGGCAGAAGCCCAGGAGATCCCTGTATGTGCCGCACATGGACCTCCTGCCCTCAACTTCTTGCCTCATGCACTTTCAAGCCCCTCAGATTCACAACTGCATGGCAATATCGCCCACAATCAGGTCGCGACTGGCGACGCCACCATAACCAAGAAGCTCGCGTTCACCGCCGCCGCCGGCCCCAAGGCCCACGCCGGCGCCCGCCTGCTGCCCGTGCTGCCGATGTCAGCGCGCGCCGCGGCCGGCGTCCCCCGTGGCGCCGGCGCCGCCGCCAAGGCCGGCGGCGGGCGCGGGGCCAGTGGCCGGGGCGCGGCTGCGCGCGGCCAGGGGCGCGGGCGCACTCGCGGCGGCCTGGGGCCGCTTGGGCTCACCCTTGGTTTTGGCGCCGAGGAGGAGGAGGAGGGGCGTCGTGCAGTGCCTCAGGGCTGTGGCGGCGCCGGAGCGTACGGGGTGGTTGGGGACATGAGCGAGGACGAGGACGAGGAGGGCGGAGACAGCCAGCAGGCGCTGTCCATGCTGGGGCAGCTGCTGGGCAGTGCCCTGGGGGGCGGCGACAGGTGAGCGCTCTCTGGGGATTTGATTTGCAACAGGCACCCTGTTGGGGGAGAGGGCCACCCGCACATAGGGAAGGCGAGGGCCCTTTTCAGGCGGGCATGAGGAGTGCAACCCGACAGCTCAAAAATACCGTTGGGACCAAGCCAGCCGCACTGCTGGCCCTGCATCAGGTCGCAGGTCTCATTCTTGATTGCACCTGCCTCCCTCTCTTTCTCCGATCTGCGCCGCCCACCACAGCGATGCGGACGAGGATGGCGGGGAGGTGGTGGCGCTGCAGCAGATGCTGGCACGCGCCGCTGGTGCCAAGAAAGCCGCCGCTAGGCGCCAGGAGGCGGCTGTTGTCCAGGTGACTGCGCAGGCGGTGCAGCCATTGATAGTGTTGCAACAGGTTGGGGCGCATGGACGAGCAAACCTGCCTGGGCCTGAACCCTGGCAGCCCTTGGCAGCCCTTGGCAGCTGTCACACCGCCACACAGGGGCCTGGTGCAAAGAGCCCTTGATGTCGCCAAGTGACGCACGTCTCACCATTGAATCCCCCCAGGAGGTGCAGGCCGCCATGGCCGCCAAGGCGTCGGAGCTGGGCGCTGCGCTGCGCGCGGAGGAGAAGCAGCTGGCGGCAGCGGCGTCGGGGAGGCTGGCGCGGGCGGCGGCCGCCCTGGAGGAGCGCGCCACGGCCATGGCCGCGCTCAGGGACAGGTGTTTGTTCGGGGGGGGGGGCACGGGTTTGCTCTGCATTGGCAGGTGCAGGCGGAAGCTGCACAGCCTGCTGACTCTGGCGTTTGCGTTGCCTTGCAAGCTCCCCCCACTCCTTCTGGGCCCGGTGTGAACTGGTGTGGTTTGTGCAGTATGTTTGTGAGAACACTGCTTTCACGCAACAGGTTTGAGGCCGAGCTGCGCGCCATGTGGGATGACTACAATGACCATTACTCCGAGGTGGAGACTATCAAACAGGTGGGATGATGTTGCATGTGCTTGTTGAGGTTCGGGACTGAAGGGAACTCGTTGAGATGTAGATGGTCGTGGCTCGACTTGCCAGGCGGCAGCACCAAGGGGTGGAGCACACATTCTGCAGCTGCCGCGTCACTCACCCGGATGACACCCCCAGATCACCTGACTCCCGCTTGCCATGCACCTCCCAAGGACCTATCAAGCACATTTCCCTCCCACTTTGCCCTTTCAACCAACCCGCAGGAGCTGGAGGCAGCCCTCACAAAGCGCCGCGCTGGCGCGAAGCGGCGGATCGCCGCGCTGCAGGCTGAGGGCGACGCGCTGCTGGCCGACGCACGCTCGCGCATCCAGCGGCGGCGCAAGCGCGCGGGGAAGCTGCCGCAGCTCGCTGCGCTTCTGAAGCAGTTTGTGTGATCAGCGAGCAAAGCATGATTCTACCTACATAGCCTTGCCAGTCTGTCGATTGATAGGAGGGATTGCTTGATGCTTGGGTGGCAATTTTTCATCCGACGTGGAGAAATCACTTATGTATGACTTCTGTAACGCGGGCGATTGACCGACCAGGGCGAGATGCATGGTTGACCTATGGAAGGATTGCACTGGCATTTTGTCCCATGCGAGTGCGTGCGCTCAAAGGGCATGCTTTGCAATTGTGATGCCATTTTGGGTGCACGGTATTGCTCAAGGCTGAATCAAAGCATCACGTCTGCTGCTTCATGTCCATTCTGCGCCTTTTGAGCACGGAGTGGCGAAGGTTGCCCGTCCTTCTGCCGCCGCTGCCGCCGTCGCTGCTGCCGCTGCCGCCCGCCGCGCACGTAGGTCTGCCAGAGTTCCTGAGAAAGATACCGCATTGTGGGTTGTGGGCAACGAGGTGGCTGTGTGAATTTACTCACTACCGTACGCCGATTGAAGAGTCAATTTCTCGACCTTCACGTAGACAATTTATACCAGCAGTATTCCCCCCTTCGCAACACACATTGAGCAGATCCGAGCTCATACATCAGTGCTTCGTTCACGACTTCCAGATCAACAAAATCGCGCTCAATTCAAAGTCGGACGCGCTGCTCTCCTCGCACGGTGACCTGTGTGCACACCTAGCGCTGGGCTTGATCAATCAGCCGTAGTGATCAACAGGGCAAGCAGTGCAGACACACACCGCAGCGGGATCGCGCGCTGCCGCACATCAGCACCATCAGCATGGAGCCCCTGCGCTTCGAGCGCCTGATCCGCCTGCTTTCGGACGGAAGTGCAGCCGCCAGTATGCTGGACCGGGAAGTGATGCACTTTGAGGGCCGCCTCTCAGCTGTTACAGCCACGTTCTGGCAGTCCGTGCGGCCCCACACCATGCGCCGCCTGGCGCTGCTCGTGGCCGACGGCCCTAACGCGGGGGCCGCTGCGAGGTTGATGCATGCTTGCTCTCCGCACTTGACGGGACGTCGGGATGCCGCAGCGGCGTTGTCTGGGCTGCAGGTGGCAGCGGTCGCGCAGGCAGCGGCGTCTGCGTTTGTTCACGTGCATACCACGAGCTCAACCCGGGAGAAGGACCGGCTCGTGGACCTGGCAATGTTGATGAACCTCTGCTTTGCGGATGTGCCGCTCAATCCCCTTGGCACCAGCCAGACCGGTGGAGTCTTGCATGGAACGTCCAAGGGCCGCGTCCAGGCAGCCCTTGATGCCGCTCCCGGCCTCATCACTGCACTCCTCCGCTCCGCAGTCCCCGCGTGCACCGACGATTGGCCCTCTATTTCGCTGGGTTCAATAGCCATACTAGTAGCCGGGCTCGTGTGCTGTGCCTTGACGACACGTGGCCCCTGCGTGCCTGCCGGGCTCGCCGCGCTGATCGACGCCTCGGCGGTTGACCTCGCGACCCTTCTGGCGGCCTGGGCCCCGGGCCGCCCATGCGCGCGTGCATCGGCCGCGCCAGGATCTGCTGACGACGTCTTTGTCGCGGACAGCCTGCGCCTGCTGGCGGCGTGCGCGGTCGAGCGCCACGGCAGCACATGCAAGGTGATCCTCGCCAGCCCTGACGCTGTGGAGTGCATCGCGGCCGGCCTGCTGCGCGGCTCACCCTTCCTTGGGCCCCCGCCCCCTGACGCCGCCCTGAGGACTCTCGGCATTTTGTTTGGACACGACAGACCGCTTGCTGCAGAGGTGTGCTGCAACGCGGGGGGCGGCGTTGCCGTCAAGTACATGTTGCAGCTGGCGGCAGGCTGCGCGGCGGCCTACAGGAATAGCGGCAGGCTCGCGTGCACAGGCTGCCCAGAATCAATGTTCTCAAGCCCCAGCCATGCACAGCGTCTCATACCGTATGCAGCTCAACAACTGGCGTTCGCACTGGACAGCCCCTGCGTCTTCATGCGCTGCATGCACCAGATCCCTGCGGCGCCAGCGCTCGTGTGCACCATGCTGCGCGACGGGCTCAAGGGGGCGGCGCTGCCCATAGCACGCGTCGCCTGCGAAGTCGTTTGGAGGGCGTTTCTCAGCCGCCACCACCAGCCTCTACGTGACACCTTTGTGCGGCTGGGCGTTTGGCCGCTGCTGCAGCGCGTGCTGGCGTCGGACTCTGCCACAGCCACCATGCGGTGCGCCGCCGCAGAGGCGGCGCTGCTGCTGCTTTACTGCGCGGAGGACGCGGCGCACGGCCCCGCCGAGCGCCAGCAGCTGGCGCGCCCGGCGTGGCACTCGCTAATTTCCGAGGCAACATCCTTTGGGGGTCGCGGCCCTGGCCCCGAGGCGGCAAGGAGCCACTTCCTGCAAGCCGCCCTTGCTTGCAGCCCCGCGTGCCTGCCTGATCTGGCCGCGCATCCGGGCGCGCTGACAGTGGCGGCGGCCGCTGCTGTGTGCGCGCCACCGCGCTATGGCGCCGCGGGACAAGGGCTGGAGCTGCTGGAGCAGCTGGCCGCCTGTGCATGGCGCGACCAGGGCGGCGCGGAAGGTCAAGATGGCGTCGTCAACAGCAGTATTGGGACGACTTCCTGGTCCAAGCTGGACGAGCAGGCCTTGGCATTGGTGCATCCGACCTTCGATGCCAAGGCGCGCGACGCGCTGCGCATGCTGGAGCGGCACCCAGACGGCCGCATCGCGGCCAGCGCGCGCGACGCGCATGCCATGCTGGTGGGGGCCCAGCTAGACGTGTTTGGGCTGGTTCGCGACGAGAGGACTGGGGACGACAGGCTGCAAAACGCGCAGCAGCGGCCAATTTCAGGAGTTGGTGGAGCAGTGGCGGCGGCCGCAGCGGCGGCGGCACCGGCGCCGGCGGCATCAGGGAGCCAGCCAGAGGGCCGTGAGGCGCAGGACGCCCTGGAGGAGCAGGACCAACAGCTGGGCGCTGACGGGTCAGTGTCAGCGGGAGCGCCGGCACCAGAGGCGGCAGCGCCAGTGGGCCAGCGCAGGGCGTCGCAGCCGCGCAGGGCCTGCGCCACGTGCGGGAAGGCCGCGGGCGAGGACGGTGTGAAGCTGCAGCGGTGCTCGGGCTGCGACGCCGCGCGCTACTGCGGCAAGGAGTGCGCCAAGGCAGGCTGGAAGGCGGGGCACCGCGAAGAGTGCAAGGCGGCGCAGCTGAAGAAGCAGCAGGCAAAGGCGGGGCAGGAGTGAGCGGGCGCTTTGCTGTGACCATTCAATCAAGTCGTGAAGTCAGGTTCATGTGTTTAGGTAACCAGACCTTATTTACTGCCGCTACAGCTCAGATCACAGCAGTTGTGGTGCAAGCCAGCAGCAACCTCGACAAGCAAGTCAGCTGAAATGCTTGGCCTCCCGGCAAAAGCACATGACGGACGTTGCCCCTACATCACGCACAAGTGCTCCAAAGAGCACATTGACCAAGCATTTGCAAGGCAACCGTGAAGCTGTCAATGCGGGAAAGCAGCAGTGAAGGCTCGCCAGTTGACTCTATCTGGAAAAACCCAGCGGACTCGCGTCACAGCAGCTCAACACAACAATTTTGGCGCTGTACACTGCAACGTACAAAGCCAGACACACGATGTGCATGCATGAAAACACGTATGAGTGGATGCACTTCAGAGAACAGGCAACAGTGACGCGCATGTTGCCACAACGCCTCCATGGCTTCGTTGGCGCCACAAGACACACAGGCACGCCAGAGCCACAGCGTGCGTTTGCTATGGCCATTCGCAAATGATTGGATATGTTGTGTGATAACAGGCCCTATCGCGGCTGTTGTGATGTGCCGTTGTCCGCGGGCCTGCCTGTAAAGGGATGAGTATGTGTTTGTCGCTCATGCGCTTGGGGCGCAGCACGGGCAGCATGCTGCTGTCAAATTGACACCCGGTGCCTTGTGACTCCATACACTAAGCGCGAATCAACCGCACACAAACACATGCTAAATACGATTCAACGAACGCGTAGCGCAGTCCGAATACTCACTTGCAGATCACCACCTGCAGCGCGTTCAATGGAGGAGGAGGCACTGACGGAGCTTGAAAAGCAGCGGTTGCAAAGAATCAGGGAAAATAGAGCGCGGCTGGAAGCGCTCCAGCTGCCCGAACTCACTGCAGCAATCGTAAATGAGCAACGTCAAGAGCAGCAGGCGGCCAAAGAGGCCAAGGAAGCCAGGTACAGGCCCGATCCCTCGGCCAAGCGCCGGCGATCGAGCCGCGCAGCTGCTGCCGCTGCGTCGGCGCGCTTGAAGCAAGCGGCTGCCCTCGGCACAGGTGCGCAGCCCAGACACCACTCTTCACACGTGCCACCGCTGCTGCACGTACACGTCGTGCAGTACCTGCAACGCCTCCTCAGCTGCCTCGCTTCCCGTGTGTGGCAAGGCCCGAGCACTTGGACTGGCCGGACTCTGAACGTCTGGTTTGCATGCCTTCTCGCAGGGGGTGCCGACAGCAGCCGCAGCGACAGCAGCAGCGGCAGTGGCAGCGACAGTGAGGATGAGGACGAAGAACAGGGATTCAGCCAAGGCGCGGGCGCGGCAAACAACAAACGGCGCGGCGCGACGGCGCCTTTGACCGCGACGCCCAGCAAGCGGCAGCGCGGCGCGGGAGACGACAGGGGCGGGGGCAGCACTCCTGCTCGGCGGCGTCGCGAGGAGGAGGATTACTGCCCATCTTCCGGGTCAGAATCCGACCAGCAGGATGAGGAAGAGGAAGAGGAGGACGAGCAGGATGAGGATGAGGAGGAGGAGGAGGACGAGGGCGGGCGCGCCAGGGGGAAGCGGGCAGAACTCACACGGGGCCGGCAGCGGCAAGGCAGCGGCAGCAGCGGCGGGCGAGGCGGCAAGGCGGAAGGCAGCCGCAGCGCTAAGGGGGCTCGGGGTCTCGGCGCCGGCCGTGGTGGGGCCGGGGGCAAGCGCGGCACGCCGGCTCGGCGGCGCAGTGGTGCTGCGCTGCTGGCGGCGGCTGACGAGGAGGGGGCCCTCGCGGCAGCTGCTGTCACCGCGCTCGGCCCCAGTGGCGGCGGGTTTGGCGGCGGCTTCGATGCCGCCGGCAGCCGCGGCGGCGGTGGGGGTGAGGAGGACGAGGACTGGGAGCTGCAGCTCGCCCTTCAGATGTCATTGCAGGAGGCAGGTGACGGCGGCGAAGCAGGAGAAGAAGCCCGTCGCAGCGGCGCAGATGGAGGCGACGCGCAGGGAACGGGCGCTGACGCCCTTGCCAGGGCCGACGCGCCGATCGATTTGACGATGCAAAGCGGCGGCGAGTCGGACGGGCGGCGGCTTGGTCCTGGTGGTGCCGCTGCCGGCAAGCCCGGCCAGCAGCAGCGAGAACAGCAACAGGCTGCACCTGACGAGCGGCGCGGCAGCTCAGGTACAGCAGAGGCCGGCCTTCCCCAAGGGGCAGGACGCCTTGACGAGCAGCTGGGCAAAGCATGGCAGGGGGACAACGGCGGCGGCGCCGAGGCCGCGGATGGTGGCGGGAAAGCCAATGGCCGCGGCCGCGGCAGCAAGCAGCGGGGCCGTGGCCGTGGCCGCGGCCGCGGCCGTGGAGCAGAGGCGCGGCCCCTCAGCCGTGCGGACGCGGGCGAGCTGTTCCTGCGCCTGCAGCGCGGCGCCAGCGGCGCGACGGTGTCCAAGGCGCAGCTGGCGCGCGCTTGCGAGGACCTGGACGTCGACGCGGACGACGATCTGATCTGCGACATGATCTCGTACGCGCGCGATCTGGAGGCGGGTGGCGAGGGGCTATGCTTGGATGGTGCATCTGCGGGCGGCCTGCTGTCGAGGGCCGCTTTCTTACGGGTGGTGGAGCGCGTGGTGGGCTTGATTGACGAGTGACATGCCCACTTGCACTGCAGGATGATAGGTCGCTGCCCTGAGAACTTGATGATATGATGACGAGAGTGCTCAGCCCTGCTGGCTCGATAGGAGTGCAGAGTGGAGCTGCCGTGTTGCTGTCCTCGCCGTGCTTCCTGCTTCTTTTTGCTTATTGCATTATCGCGCTGCGCCTGCCCTCTGCAGCCACGCCGATGTTGCCCAATTGTGGTGAAAAGGATTTTATTGATGCCTTTTGGATCAAGGTCATAACAAGTTACAGTACTGTATCAGTAGCAAAGACGTTGTGGTTCTGATCAGGAGTACGCATGCGGGTGTGCCAAATTGTGAAGGTGTGCTGCGACACGAGACAGGCGGCAGCAGCAGCAGCAGCCGCGTGGGCAGGTGTGTTGCAGACAGTGGCGCTCGTGAATGGGCATGCGAGTGCAGGGGGAGGGGCACCGCAGGGCCTGCGTCCTGCCTCAGCTCATCCAGTCCTGTGCAGTGGCGCCGCCAGATGGCCGCTGCTCCACCTTTTTCGCCTCCTTGACCGACTTGATGGCGGCGCGGCCGACCGCGCTCCGCTCAAACTGGGCCTGCCGCGCCTCCGCCTGCGCAGCAGCAGTCCGTGGTTCAGGTTCCGGACAGTGGGGCATCCGTCACCCCACCAGGCCGCACTGGCACCGCAGCGGGAGAGGGGACGCGCAAGACAGGTGCTGCCGCATCCGCGCCACCGCACCTGGGCCGCCGCCCGCTCCCGCGCCTCGCGGTCCCGCTCCGCTTGTAGGGGGTCGTCCCTGTGAGGGGCGGGGGGTCGCCAGTTTGCCCCCGGAGAGGGGGGGGTCTGATCATTGCGCTTCAGCACATTTGGCATCGGTGGCATCAGCGCGGGTCACTTGCTGCTGCCCAGCAATGCGCGGCTGGTATGGCAAAGCAGCAAGGGTGTCAGGGCGGCTACGCGCCTGTACTCCTCGTACTTTGGCCGGGCTCCCCCACAGCAGCTGAGGCATGCGCCCATGGCGGCGCTTTTGGGTGAAGGCGGGTGACGAGGGAAGGCGACCTCGCCCGAAGCAGCGTTCAGCTGCGTGAGTGGCCCGGGGAGTTGGAGGGGATCTGGGCCCGTGCTTTGCGTCGTGAGATGGGTCGTGCGCACGGCAGCAATACGCCTTGTGGAAAGCACCCGGGGGTGAAGCTCTGTTCGTGTCAGAGAAAATGTGTGGGCCTCTGCGCATGTCAGCTGGACCTTTCCGAGTATGTTGCTTTCATCAAACTTAGGTGTTTGTAGATCGACTTGTCAGATCCACAGTGACTCGGGCACGGTGGTGCAGTGACTCCCAACAGCCTATCAATAGAGTTCCTGTCGTGCACGTCCGTGCGTGAATCTCACAGCTGCGACAACAGCTCGTCGCAACCCGCACGGCGCCCCGCCACATTGGCTGGCACCTTCGAACGCCGCCTGGCTTCCCAGGGGGGCCCGCTGCCACCATGGTTTGTGTCCTGATGGTGGCTGAGAAGCCCTCCCTCGCGGCTTCGATCGCGGGGTTTCTTAGCCAGGGCACCGCATGCGCCCGCCGTGGCTCCGTCGACGTCCACGAGTGGGACGGCGCGTTCCGCGGAGCTCGGGCGTCGTTCAGGATGACGTCAGTCTGTGGCCACCTGCTGTCCCTCGATTTCCCGCCGAAATACAACAGCTGGGACAGGTAAGAATGGATGAAAGGGGGGCTGGCGAACACAGCAGCACGTCGCCTTATTCTGGAAGGGTGGCAGGCGCTGGTTGGCGGCGGCACCATGGTTCGCCCTTGTTGGTGCCTTTGCCTGCGCTTTCAAGATCCATGTCGGCAAGAGCCATGTTGTGGCGGCCTGAACCACGGCGTCCATGATGCTTTGATACACCTTCATGCTCAACTGCTGCCATTCCCCCAAGGGTTGACCCTCTGGAGCTGTTTGATGCAGAGACGGTCAAGAACGAGTCAAACCCCAAGGTGGGCTGCAGCACCCCAAACGGGGTGCGATCCACCCCGTCTACAACTCGACATGGCGCTCTGCAGCAGACACGATAGGCGCTCGCTTGCCAGCGCCGCAGCATTCATGTACCATCGCTGTCGGTTGTTGGGCCGCCCACGCGCGCTTTGCGGCTTGGGGCACCCAAGCAGACCTTTGTTCCTCGGCGATGGCCAGATGAGCTGAGTCGCCCCCCAACAACAGCACTGAGCTGACATGACTGTGCAGCCCCTGTGCCGTATCTCTGCACTGCAGATTTTTGCCTGCGGGTG